ACAGGCACAGTTACAAGGTCACATAGGTGGGCTATGCACGCCACACGTGCAATCAAGCGCACACCAAGCTTCAGTCAGGTACTGAATATTATGTAACAGCACTAAAAGACCCACGTTTCGGGGTTAGTTCAGCTGGCCCCTCGGTCCTGAGCAAAACCGATTTGTGGCGGCAGTTGGTAACTTTGTAAAATGTGACTTTAAGTGCGTCTTGGCAGTCTTAAAGCTGGTCTTCAGCGCGAGGGCTGGATCGGCCCAACTGAGTAGGTCTGACCGACTAGAAATGAGACTGGTGCGACTTGAGGTCGTCACGATCTGACATCTTAATGACATGGGGGGATATGCAGTGAAAACCATACTAATGGGTCATCGTATTCTGAGCCTAGTTGCTGGTAGTCTTCCAAGCCAATTGACGCCTTATGCTAGGTTTAGGTTGTCGGGGATCGGCGTCGGTTTTCTCCGATGCGCCAGTGGTCCAACTAATGGTGAGGCTGCGTGAGATGACTGACGTGACGCTAGCCGCCGTTGAACGTGTGCGCACGCACACATTGCAGAATTTTAGGTCTTAGGCTTATCCAGAAAACCCCACACCACTGATCGATGAGACCCCCGACGTGTTGACCCCATCGGAGTGCTCAGGGCGCAATCCGTTTGGAAGCAGACACATATAAAAAACACAACAATTGGAAAATATTTGAGTCTTGTCAATATACAGTTCCAAATTTCATCGCCGGTGACATTTCTCTCAGTTACTTTACGTGTCACACCTCTGCCTCTTCCGCGCGTGTTCAGTGCTGCTCTCTCTGATCCGGCCGCAGAGAGGAGTAGCGCTAAAGCTGAAATTGTTCTGGCCGAACGGCCAGGCGTACATCGTCAGGAAAGAGCTCTGAGGCACGTGCATGCATGGCACGGTAGGTGCAGGTGATTGTAGCCTCGGCGCAGCCAGCCACCTCTCCAATTTCTGAAAGGAGAAAGGTAGTAGGACGTAAAAGTTCTCTTATGGTTAGTGAAGACCTTTCGTTTTGGGAGTTGTGGTAATCGAGGTTTAGAGTAAGAGGCCGGTAAGCTCGTAGACAGTTACTTGCACGCACATAAAAACGGTTAAGGCTACTTTATCATCATCTTCGCATGCAGGCCTGCGCTCGACCGCACCGAGTGGGATTCTAGGGAACCATTGTCGAGAAACCATAAGGACGGGAGCGACTAAGTGCCTTAAATAACTTAAGCCTTATAAATTTCATAAGGAATGCATATTTGTTTGCACTTTATCACTAGAACCACCTTAAAAGGGCTATGATGCTTATTTGACCAAAACATGAGCTGCAGTGTTTGGGTCTGATATCATCAACATGACAGAATGAGGCTCGTTCGAAACGAAGAATAAATAAGGGCCGAGAAGGTTGTACTACTCTGTCCTTGCTGTAGCCAAATGAGAGGGACAGGTAAGGATCGGCCTGAAGTAACTACTTTTAAGTATATTCCGCGGAACCGGCGCTCACCGAAATAACTCGATTGCAGGACGGAAATGATCTTTGAATTGAGACAGTGATGGGTCTTGCTGGTCACTATCGGGGTTTTCGTAATTCCAATATGGCCATAATGCCAGCTAAGAAACGGATAGAAGTGGCTTTCTTCCTCCGCTTTTTTACGCTGTCGTGATAAATCAAATAGGGACTGCGAAAACACCATTTTTTTCTTTGAGACACTGCGAAAAGACTACTCTCCAACATGGTGTTCCATTAAAAGTGACGAAGGTTGTCCTGATAGAGGCCCGGGACTAGTTTTGAAGAGTGAAAGCATACGGTCAGATCGCATTGTAGGCCTTAGGAAAATTCGGTAGAGTAGTATCATACAGATCACGGACCTCTTCCGAAAACCTTCAGTAATAGATTGTAGCAGCCTATTCTATCGAGCTATAGTACTAAACTCAGTCTAATTGTTCCGAAGTATATGAAATCACCGGTGATTGGTACGAATTATTTCCATCACCACGCAAATAGGCAGATTTCGACTGCCAGGGCGAAGGCTCACGAGTTTTATGGAATCCTTCCCGACCTTCCATGCATGATCCATTCTTCAAAAAAAGCGTGGCACGGTCCTATGCGCCAAAAGAGGCCGAAATGTACCGCCGAACCGACAGAGCCGAATGCGGGTGTATTTTACCGGATCATTACGCTTTGTTGAGGTTTATGTTTGGATAGGAGCTTTTACTTCATCCCCAGAGATGTCCTTGCTCCACACTTGCTCAAGAACGTGAGCGGAGACTCAATCGAATATATTGAGAACAGAAAGGTCATTATGATTACCGTACAACTGCAGTTTTTCGCTAGTCCGTAGAGACACAAAACGCTGGCGTCCCTGGAGTCAGCTTACCCGAAAGCCGAAAGTTACTGTAATTTTGGAGTTCAGATGAAATCGAGTCAAAAATTGGATACTTTCCGTTAACATGTGTTGCAATGCCCTGATCGACTACGAGAGAGAGAGAGATGGAGGAGCGAAAAGTGTGTTTTAGTATACCGGAGGTGGGCAACTGCAGATAAAAGTGCATGTCGAACTGACAGTTCAGAATCAGCAATTTATCTCATGAAAGAGAACATCTCTGGTGGGCTGGCGGCGCATACTGATGTATAGGCAGAAGGACAGTACCGACAAAAACAAGGAAGACTAGGATGGCCATTTCTGCCTTATTTGCCGTCGACAGCTAGCCATACCCAGACCCAAGTGGTGTCTCCCCCAAGCTTCCAACTCGCAGCCTCTCTGATCAGAGTCAACGCCCCAACCATTGAGCTACGAGCTTATTTTCTTGATGCATATTTGTATGGAGCGGCCGACTAGACGACTGACAGTCAGGCCGCAACGACCACTTTGTGTGGTATTAACGCATTCTCGCTCCATCTGGAAATGAGATGTCACCCCCTTTACTTTTGTGGAACGCTGGTCTACTGTATGCGAAACAATCATATGCACCAGCCACTGTTAAAGTGGGAAAATTAGCCCCTAAGGCTCAATGGCTTTTGTGTTAGAAGCTGACTCGGGAAGTGATTACGTGGTGGGTATGACCCAAGCGCCAATTTATTCATTTTTAAAAATTAGGCCCGAAGGACCTCATTCGCGTTTCCGATCCTATCGTGAAATAGTGGCATGAGTTTTAAAATATGCCAGGCGCTGAGATTGGACGCACAAGCCCCGTGAACGTGGTATAACATGACTTAAGACTTAACCGGACAACAGGCACAAAATGTTTGCGGGTGGTGAGAGACACTGACGTCATCTGGTCAATTTAGGCGATACCCAGAGGACGGAGACTGCGCTCAACGTAGTTCCTTGGCAACACCGTTGGGAGCTGGCTAAGACATTGCAAATAATCTCTACATACAACAAGATCCTTAATAAGACTGCTAGTCTTATAAGGTGGGCTTCCAATAGAAAACTCCGTACATTCCTCCCCTAGTGAAGATGAAGAAGTCAGGACTTCATGCGATCGGTCAGGATGGTTTTTCGGCCCTCAAAATTCTTAACTAGAGAACGAGATGCGCATGCGCATGTGTGTACATCTAAAATGACAACAGTAGGGTCGCCTGCATAAATCTCGACCACTGATATACGAAGTAATTAAGTTGGTCTTAGCTAAACAATGACACCGTATCTTACCGGAGAGGAGACAACACTACCAAATCTGGTTAATTGGTTGGGCTAAACTTCTCATACTTCCCTCTTTTTCACTATCAGCTCCGGGAGTTACCAAGCAACCACGGCCCAAAATCATTAGCAACATATGATAAATCTTAGAAGACGCGTTGCAGTATTTTCTCTCAAGAGCATCGACTCATTCAACAGAACCGAACCTCTGCGAACTGCGGCTGAGCCTAACAAGCAGGATGGCCTACGCATGGCCAGGCTTCTCAACATTTATTTCTACGTTTGAAAGAACAAAAGAGATCCATATCAAATAAATCGCACTCACCCCGCTTTTCCTTGCGACAGCCTAGGGCGTATGCTGCCATGTAGATGGCAGCGGCGGCGACGGACACTGGGCTTCGACCCGACACCAAGTTTAGGTTCAAAGCGCGCCGGGCAACAACGTTGGCCACTTGCTGCACCGTTATGTTGAGATGTAGATTTGCACAGAATCTAGACATAAAATCATCAACTGAGACGGCTTGAACGTTGGTTTCGAGGATGTTGAGAATCTTTTTGAAAACCTTGCCAATTTCCTTCTTTGACACCTTGGAGACGGCGCATACCTCTGCAAAGAAAATAACTCAGGTTAGTAACAGCTAAGTCGGTCGGTGATTATAAAGAACAGGTCAACAGACGCGTAATGTGATAAGCTCGAGGTCTACTTAGGCAAATTATTAAGTAACCGATCAAAATAAAAATAAAAACTAATCAGACGGCTACCAAATTCAGAACCGAATATATGAAGAGAAATTATATCATAAAGCACTTATTTAGGGAACAGAAAGCTTCGGTACATAGACCAAGAACTCGAACGAGCTTTGAACAAAAACAGTTAGGAAGCGGTATAAAACACCTTTAAATGTTCGAGGAACTTTCTCTTGCCGGCAGGCCATGTAGAGACATGCAGTTGAGACAGCATCGTTACTTCGGCCACGCAGGTTCCTCGTTTCGTATACTTGCTTAAATAGTAGATTTGCGCGGTCCTAAAAAGTATTTTGTCAGGTCAGCCGAAATGAGATGAATGAGTAAACCTAAGAGACTTCAAAAATGAATTGATGAGCTTTATTTCTGGGATAACCTTAACGTGAAGTCTTACATAATTTGTTGTGCCAAAAAAACACTGGAGGCCAGGACGGTTAAATTAGTGATATTGCCAGAAAGGATATCTATATTACGTACATTTAGAGAAACTAGATAGAAAAAACGGAGTTTATCAGTAAAATAAAGGAAGGAACAACTACGAATTGAATTTTTTAAACTTACTGATATGGTTTTCGGTAGGTTGAGGCGTTCAGCCATCTGGCTTATCTCGCGAAATGCGGTAATGAGAGCTCTATCGTTCCCAGAAACATTCCTCCTATTTCGATACAGAGGTCTTCCTTGGTCATCAACATGCCGCGAGTCGGTTCTGGACGGAGCGCTGATCATTGTGGATAGGTCTTTTCCTTCTAGAAGGGGATTCTCAGCTGCTCCCACTCGGGAGTTATCTTTGGCATTCGCATCATTTGAAAACGTCCGCCATTCAGATCCGACATCGATAATTCTTAAGAAAGGAGCAAGATGATTAACTCAGATTTTGATGACAATGAACCGCAGAATACAGCATACAATATCCGAACAGTTATTGATCTGAGAAACACGTTTATTACCTACCTGTCTGCAACAACTAAGCCGCATAATGAACAGACCATATCTCCGGCGTGTGCATCTTCAATGAGGACAGCATACGGATGATATTTGCATTCTAATTTGCTCCTACAACACAAAGGAATGAAGAGAACACAAAGTTACATCGTCAAATGAGGCACTCCACCAACGTATATTTAAAT